TTTGTGGAAAATCCTGGAGTTCTGAAGCATTGGATGGGAAGGGAGAATTTCCTTAGTTTCCTGATCTGAATCATGTTGCTCACTTTTTCCTGAGCAAAAATAGACTATAAAGCTTTACCTAGGCATTCTAAACATTTGTGGAAACTGTAGCATAATTCTCTTTGCAGTGAGTGTCTTCCTGCTACTTCTGCAAGAAGTTCTGGCTGAGCTTGCAGCTGGGAAGGCTGAAGGCTGGATTCATGCTCTGGAAAGCATGCTGCATACACTTCTGTCTTGCAGCTCTGCTCTGAGGAGTTGCATTGTGATTGTGCAGCAGGAGGGGAGATGTGCCTGGCTGGGGTGCAGGTGTTCGAGAACTTTTATATTCTTTAGGCAGGATTAGCTGCCAGCCTTGTCTTTAGCCAGATTGGGAGAATATGAGCAAATATATTTGAGAATAACTAAATGGGGGTAGTTCTCATCTCTGTGAGGGGGAAAAAAAGAAAAGGTAATTTAAAGGCACCATTCTATAAGAACTCCTTAAGATGCCAAAGTCCTGTGGTGCCACAGTGGCAGTTAATAGGCCCAGAATGGTGATGGATACTGAGGTAACCAAATGTAGGTAAAACACCCTCAGCATTTTGATTTGTGCCTTGGGACATCAAGCCTTCCTCCTTATTGTAAACCCATGTGAGTCAGGAGAAAGGCATAAAACAAAATCCAGGGTTAGCATACATAGGTGAAGGACTGCTGTGCACTGAGTACCTGCAAATACACTGAGCACGATTACCAATCTGAGTCTGTTAGCCTTGGCTGAGCGTTTCTTCTGCAGCCATGCTCTAGATCCTCATTGGTGACTCCCAAGTGAAAGCTTGCATTTCAAGTCCTTTGCTGGTGCTACTGTGTCAGCAAATTTCTCAAGTGATTCAAGAAAAACTTTCTCAAAATTTTCTTTACTCCAGAAAATTGCGGACCTTTGAGTTCCTTTCCTGCATTAACTCACATCCAGATCCGTGCATTTCCGTGTGCTAGGGATCGGGTTGGTTTGGAAGAACAGAACAGGCAGCCTCAGACAATGAAATGACAGTTTGTAGAGTGCCTGATTCAGAAGAGGTGGTGTCTACCAGCACATAAATAGTTCCCTGTAGTGTGGCAGATTGCATGCACTGCAGAGTGAGTCAGCCCTGCAGTGAGAGAAGGGAGTGGGATGGCTCTGCAGCAGCAGAGGGTAAGCGTCCCTTCGCAGTCAGTTCAGGCTAGGTGAGGTGAGGAATGCCTGCTGTCAGATGCTGCCAGCATCGTTAATGCCTTCATAGGGCTTGCCAACTTTTTTCCTTAGCTTTCATACTTTTTTTTTTTTTTTAATTACTTTTATTATTTAATGCTCTATTTTAGAAGCAGAACCTATGAGATTGGTCAGTGACTGCTTTTAAGGCTACTTCAGTAACCTTTCCAATGCATCTGAAAATTAATTGCAATAAAGTAACTCCTGTTTGGAGAAACCCCTGTTCTCCCATAGGTACGAAGGAAACCCTGGGGTTGGTGCATTACAGGAAATTGGGAACGAGAACACTGCCCATAATGGTGTAAACCAAGCCAGGCAGAAGGATGTGAATGAGGAGAAAGCTGGGCTTGCAGTTCAAGATCTGTGTCCCATTTACGATTTGTGTGACGTTGAGCAGTCTGCCTGCTGGACTTTTACAGTGACGTGGAGGTCGAAATTTTGTGTCAGTTACCTGAGTTTGTGCAGCATCCAGCTTTGCTCTGAGGAGGGAGGGTAAGGGGATAGCCTCAAGCCGCAGAGGGAGATAACCACCTATGCCTAATGGTTCTGTCTTCCTCAGGCAGGCTGAGGACCAATCTTAGGAAATCCCTGAAGTTCCCAGGATTGGCAGTGTTTCCAGCTGACGGATGCAAACAGCATCCCTGGTCTGTGTGCATTAAGACAATTTCTCAGAGCTCTTTGTGAATACACAAAAAAAAATGGGAAGCCAAGGCTGCATCTCCACAATTGCTTCTTTCAGCAGCAGAGCTAGCGTAAGCCCATCCTCCTCTGGCACCTGTACCTTCTTTCATAGCTGTAGTGCGTGCTCCCCTGCTTCTCCTGAATGTGCTGGTACAGCTTTTCATGTGACCAGGCAGTGAATCTGATTTGGGAACTGAGCCAGGCTAAAAATAACTCAACCTGGAAAAAAATGTTTTGCTGAGGAAAAAGCAGCGAAGCTACAGTTAGATTCTCTCAGCCTATTACTGGGGCAGTGGAGAGAAAGAGCATGCGATTATGAGAGGTGAAGTGTGCAATGTGGGTGATACAAGACATGGAGAATTTAATACTGAGGAATAAAGGGAGAGCATCCAAAAGGATAATCCTTAAGCAGGACAGGTGGAGTGACATAAAGTTGGGCCGGGTGACGCACCTACAGCACCGATGAGGTAAATTTCCACACCTGTCATCTCAGTACAGGCTGTTCTGTTCAGCAGCACGAGAGGTCCAAGCCATTTTCTACTATTCTGATTCAGTGGTTCGCTTCTGGCTTGCGTCCTAGAAATTTTGCATTCATTTGTCACCAAAGGCTTGGTGAAAGTGTGTCAGCAGGGTGGGCCGTGTGGCAGGATCTTTTATTGCGGACATTGCTGTGTCTAGCAGTATTTTCATTTACCTCTTCCACTGCTGAGAAAAGTTCCTGTCACAAGTCTCTTAGCATGTTCATTCATATGAAAATGCTCTGTTTGGCTCCAGGCAGTTTGTGTGCTGTATGTGCCTTTTCACATGCATTTTAGCTGCTTGGAAGGGGACTTCTCCCCCTAAAGAGTTATTTTCTTAAATAAGCAGGCCTGAGGTTCAGTTTTATGTTCTAATCTTCTGAGTCTGGAGTCTCTTTACCTATACTAAAGCCACAAATCCCTCCCACTGACGTACTGCTGGTTGTCCCTGGCAATGGATAATTTTAACCGTGACAAGTAAAAGCTGCCTGAAGCCATTCCTAGTCCCAAATTCTCCAAACTACATTGTGTGTAGTTGTCTTGGGCTAAACTAACATCATTCCTGGTTCTCCATTTCCATGGCCCTTACTGGTATCCTACTGCCAGTAAAAGGTAGCTTCATCATGTGGACTGATACGGAATAACTACAGCATGAAACCTCATCCAAATTAAATCCTGGCTAGACGGGAATGTTATGTTCAGGCACAATTACATTCCCTGTCACGTAGTCTTCTCAGTGTGGTTCATAAGAGGAGCTCACATCAGCACCTTGCCTAGACACAGTCTAGATAAGACACTTGTCTCTGCAATACTGTGGGACACCGAACTAGGCAAACATCTAGTTGGATGCTGCTGCAGCAGACAGTTGCCCACGTGGAGCAAAGAGGATGGAAGAAGTGTCTGCAAGCAGACATCTAGAAGTACTTGGTTGGGGACACTACTTTAATTAGAACAAAGCATAGTACTTGCCTTTAACGCTCTGAAGATAAACATGATTCCCTTTCTACCCACGGAGACTGCAGACATCAAAAGGATCGCTGGTGGCATGGTCTGCTGGAGAGAAGTCAGGGGCTGGCGGTTAGAGCACAGAATAAACATTGTCTTCTCCCCCGGCTGCTGCTGACTGGTTGAATGAACTGAGGAGCTTGCCTACAGCAATGCTGTCAGCTTAGAAGTAACTTTTAAAAGAAATAATGACTTACATGTGATTGTTATTTTTTTCCTGAAGCTGAGACTGGAACAGTGAATTGAGGGGCTCCAGAAGCCTTACTTTGCCAGAGCCAATAAAGAGTTTGAATTTCATTTTGTTGGTGTAATTATTTTGGCGTACAGTTGTGCCTAGCCGGATTTCCAAGCAGGTAAGCACTTTGCAGCAGATTGTCTGCCAGCTGTCAGGGGCAAGGATCGGCTGATCTTTCAGTGCCTGGCGCATCTAGCAGGCCTGCGTCTGCCTGGGGTTGCCACTCCAGAAGTAAATAACCAGGAGTGGGATGCAGCACGGCCTGCAGCATTGCTTCATGGCAGTGAGCTCAGCCCATCGGCCCCACGCAGCACAGCGAGCCTGCTGCAGGCCGTGCCGTGTGTGCGATGTGCTGTGAGACGCAGAGCGATTCCTCCAGGCAGACTCATTCCCTGAGGAGAAATGAGTCAACTTTAGCCATTATATCCAAAGTCACTTATTCACAATTCACAGACTTGAAAGCCATTAGGCACTGCTAATTCCTCTCATCTGACCTCCCAGGCCAGTGAACTTTGCCAGACAAAAAGACAAAAAAGTGCTTCAGTACGGCACCTCCTCAAAGGCATCAGTGTGTGCCAGCCGCTAGCTCGGTGACGCTGAGGAGCACGGAGAGCACCGAGAGCTGTCAGCATGTGGCAGCGATGGCAGCAGGAGCCACATCACAGCTCCCTGCGGGCTGCAGGATCCTGGGCTGGTAGCTCCGTGAGCTCCTGGAGGTCCAGGCAGCGGGGGCTCACTCTGCTCTGTGCTTGAGATCTGCACTGGTTCCTTGGGGATGCTCCTCTAGAACATCTTCTGCACTGAGATCTAAGCGTGTCGGGATAAACTCAGTGCAGAAGATGCTGCCCCAGATGTTTCTAATCTGAATGTTATTTGTGTGAAGAACGCTAAGAACAAGGTGACGAGGAGATGGCTGCGGTGGGTGCGAGCTGTGACGAACACCCGGGGGTAGGGGGGCGGCGGGACGGCAGCGGGGGCTCCGTCAGCGGGGAGGGGGCTCCGCTGCCCCCCGGTGCCCCCCGGTGCGGGCAGTGCCTGCCCCGAGCACCCCGGCCCCGGGGGCAGCGCCGTGTGCCCGGAGCACCCCGGGCAGCGCCCCCCGCCCGGGGGGAGGCAGCGACCTCCCCAAGATGGCGCCGCCGCCGCCGCGCCCTTCCCGTGATGGCGGCCCCCGGGTGCCGGTCACGGGGCGGGGCGGGGCGGGGCGGGGCGGGGAGCTCCCGTTCGGCACCGGAGCGCGGTCACGTGACGGGCGGCCGGCGGTGCCCCCCCTCCACCCCCCCCCGCCCCCCTCCCGCTGCCCGGGCGCTCCGTGGCGGCCCCGCGCCCTCCCGGCGCCATGCGGGCCTGCGGGGCCGGGCCGGGCTGAGCGCGGCCACACGGGAGGGAGCGGCGGCTCCGGGCACCGGGCACGGGGCCGAGCCCCGGGGCGGGCCGTGAGGAGGCCGGGGCAGCCCCGTCCCGCCCCGTCCCGGCTCCCCGCTCCCCCCCCCCCGCTGCCCCGGTTCCAGGCCGGTTGCCCCGTCCCGACGATGCCGTCCAACAAATCCGTGTCGGACGCGCCCATCGCGCAGTTCACCAACTGCCGCATCCTGCGGGACCGCCGGCTGCAGCGGTGAGTGGGGAGCGCCGGGGGCTTGGGGGGGCTCGGCGGCACCTGGCGGACCCCCCCCAGGGCTCCCCGGGGTCCCGGCGGTGCGGGGCCTGCCCCGGGAGGAGCGCGGTGCCAGCGTGAGGCTCCCCGCAGGGAGGACCTGTGGGTGCGGGAGGGGAAGATCCTCAACCCGGAGAAGCTCTTCTTCGACGAGAAGGGCTCGGCCGACGTCCAGCTGGACTGCAAGGGCAGCATCATCGCCCCCGGCTTCATCGACGTGCAGATCAACGGTAAGGCGAAGGGACGGCCCCGGGCTGCTCTGCCCCTGCTCTTCAAACCCTGCTGCCCACGGCACAGCGTGTTCCTGCAGGGCACCAGCTGCTGGAGGGAGCTGGCAGCCACTGAGCTAATGATAAAAACCAGTTTTGCCCGTGGCTGCTGCTGCTGTATCGCTGATCCGCTTTGGATACGCGTATTTTCAGCCCGGCTTTCCTCCCTTTCAGCAGTAGTCCCCGTGCTGGTAGTTTGCCTACCTTACACTGCCAAGGACGCGTGGAGGATGGAGCAGGGCTTCCCAAGGGATCAAACCGTACCTGCAGTGGCTCTCCTGGGTGCTGAGAGCTTTGTTCTCTGCTAGAACATGTCAGAAGCTAGATCCTCTCTTTAATGGGAAACACTCAGATTTTTCTCTTCATCAAAATAAAAAGTTGGTGCTTCTTGCAACACTCTGTGATTCTGTAGGAAAAAGCACTCCAGTAGGATGGCGTTGGCTGGATTTGTGCTAGCAGAGCCCTGGGAATGTAGGGCAGGACGAGTGCTGGTGGAGCTCTTTGCCTCCAGTTCATGCCATGTGAACTGAGTGGCTTGCTCAGGTCACACACAATTTGTTTTGGTCACACACACACAAAACAAAACAAACAAAAAAACACGGTTTTGGGTTGGGAAACTGGGTGTTCATGAGTCTGGTCCCCCACTAGAGGGGAGGATCCGGGCAGCTGCTGCCTTTCTGCTGAGGAGGCTGCAGCTTCATCTTTGTTTTGTTCGTGGTACAGGAGGCTTTGGAGTGGACTTCTCCCTGGCTACAGATGACTTCAAATCAGGGATTGACCTGGTCAGTCAGAAAATACTCTCCCATGGAGTGACCTCCTTCTGTCCCACTTTGGTGACTTCTCCTCCATCTGTGTACCACCAGGTGAGTGCCTTTCTCCCCCTCTCATCCTTGGGGTGATAAAGAGCCAAGGGCTGAGGCTGGTACCAAGAGTGGAGAGGGCTGGGGATGGTGAGACTGCAGAGCTTCACTGACTGAGACAGCTGCCATGGTGGAAAAGCTGTGGGCATAAGGAGTTGGACTCCAACCCCAGATTTCTTGCCCTTAACCTTTAGACCAGTGAGGCGGTGATGTTTTCCAGGCCAGCAGGTAGCTAGCCCCACTGCCTTTCATGGTGGGGCTTGCAGCTTGCTTCTTCTTTGTGGGCTGTTTGGCCTTTTGTCCCCTTAGCCCAGCTCTGTGGGGACCCGGGGTTGGGGTTGCTTTGCCTGGCAGGGGCACCGTGGCCGAGGTGTCTGACAAATCCCTTTCTCCAGGTTCTCCCTCAGATCAATGTAAGAAACGGTGGAGCCCATGGAGCAGGTATCCTGGGTAAGTGGTCTTGCCGCTCGCTGTCCTCCCTGGAGCTACTCTAGGAGAGTGTCACTTCCCCTGATAAGAGGAAAGAAGCCGCTGCAGGAAGGCACAAATGGGGCTGGAGCTCTCTTGGTTGGGGGGATACACGGGTGGGCACAGACCTGCTCTCTCCCTCAGCCTGTCCCCAGCCGTTGCTGTGCCCTCTGCCACCTGCCCTTTTGGTTTCAGCTCAGTGATGGCTGTGGGGCTGTGGGGCTTGGCTGCTTCCAGTGCTGCGTCTTTTGTCGTACTGATCTCGCAGTTACACGAGCTGTGTTTTGCTGTTGGAGAAAGGCAGGAGCTTGGCCCAGGCAGGGTGGACGCAGCAGGTTTCTTAGCCCTTGGTGGTGACTCTGTTTCTGTCTGAGCAGGGGCCCACCTGGAAGGACCGTTCATCAGCAAGGAGAAGAAGGGGGCACACCCAGAGCACTGCATCCGCACCTTCGAGGCAGGTGCCTTCCAGGACCTGCTGGCCACCTACGGGTCCCTGGACTGTGTCCGGATCGTCACCCTGGCCCCGGAGATCAAGAGGAGCAGCGAGGTGATCCGCGAGCTCACCAAGCGGGGCATCTGCGTCTCACTCGGTAAGGACCAGGGAGGGGACTCGGGGGAGCTCCTGTGTCTGTGCCGCAGGCAGCCTGGGGCTGAGGTATCCCTGATGGTGTCTCCGTGTGGCTGGGCTGGGTGGCATTTCTTTGTGTCACCCCTTCCCTGGCCTGTATGGAGGACACAGGCGCATCACAAACGGGGACCTAGGCTGGTGCTGCAAATCTGTTGCCCTCTGTATGGCAAGGGCCAAGTGTCATTGATTGAAGAGCGCTTGCAGTTTTGCACACGTGCACTGGTGCTGGAAAAACAGGAAATGATAGCAGTCTTCCTTCTTTTTTTTTTTTTTTTTTTTTAAGCCTTCAGTTAATAAAGATATAATTCAAGGCTGACTACGTGGAAAGGTTCAAACTCTGAAGTTCAGCTGCTTTAGGCCTTATTTGACAGGTGAAATTGTTTTCCAAAGGTTGCTGTTGAGTCTTGATAACTCAGTTTTTCAACTGGAAGTGTTGGAGACCTCTCCCTCTACTGCATTTTTATAAGTTTTTTGGGGGATGAAATTGAACCTTAATTGAGCAGGGTATTTGTGCAGAGCCTCTCACAGGCATGTAATGAGAAGAATCACAGAAAGACAGAATCTGTTCGCAGGGAGATTTGTTCACATTAGATATGCTGCCTGTGCTGGGGCAAACAACTGTTCCTGAGTTGTGTTTTATTGATATATTCTTTCTTGGAAAGTGCCTGCTGGTTCCCTGCTCCTTTGACGCCTCTCCACATAAAGCCTTGAAATACTTGTAGGCAGAAGGCACGTCCCAGGGCCTCTAGCCCAGCCAGCAGGCAGCTCTCTGCGATGCCTGTGGGAGCGAGGCAGTGTTGGTGAGCAGTGAACCTGTTCACGTGAAATGCCCACTGCCAGAGGCTCCCGTGCTCAGTCAGACACCTCTGCAACGAGGCTGGCATCTCAGACCCAAACACAGGTGGGAGCATCAGAGCAGAGCCCTAGTGACGATGCATCTTTACTCCTGGAAGTCCCTCTGGGGAAATAAATGGAGCGGTGGGCAGAAGAATCACGCGGCGGTCTCTGTTCCCAGGTCACTCGGTGGCAAATCTTTCGCAGGCTGAGGAGGCCGTGCAGCACGGTGCTACCTTCATCACGCACCTCTTCAATGCCATGTTGCCGGTGAGTAGTGAAGGGCGTTTGCCCTGTGCTGGCATTGCTTTTGGTGCTTTCTCTCTTGCTCCCCATCAATGCTTATTCTCATGGGCGTGTTTTGTACCGGGCCTTGCAGTGGGGTTTCACTGAACACAGCCAGGCAGGGCTGGGTAGAGGCAGCAGCTGCATCCCCTGGCAGGAGGGGTCTCAGCCTGCAAGGCCTGTTGATGTTCAACAGTTCCTCCTCTCTCTCCTTGGGCAGTTCCACCATCGTGACCCTGGCATCGTGGGTCTGCTGACGAGTGACAAGATTCCTGCTGGCCGGAGGGTCTTCTATGGCATGATCTCTGACGGCATCCACACCAACCCTGCTGCCCTGCGCATCGCCCACCGAGCCCACCCCTCGGGTAAGCCATACCAGGCCCACGCCGTGTCACCAGCCTGGTGACAACGTCCCAAACACTGTGCTGTCTCCCACGAGTGCTACTCTTGCTGCCTGAAAGAGGCCATTGCCCTGTGGCGTGATCCACTAGCCCACTTGCCTCAGCTGGAGGTGGCTGGAGGCATCTTGGTCCCTTTCCGGGAGGGTCCACGTGGCGCAGTGCTCGGGGCTGCGGTAGGAGTGGCTGCAAAGCTAGCGCAGCGTTTGCTTGCCTCCCTCAGGCCTGGTGCTGGTGACGGATGCTATCGCTGGCATGGGGCTGGCACCAGGTCGGCACACCCTGGGCCAGCAGGTGGTGGAGATCGATGGGCTGAACACCTACATTGCAGGTAAGTGCCTTTTGCGACAGAGCGTGGCACGGCACTGCCACTTGTGCCTGTTCCTGGAGAGCTCAGCACAGCTTCCAGTGCTTGTCAGCGTGAGGCAGCACTTCTGCCACCTTCCTGGGTTTTGTTGCCTGGTCAGTGTATGGCTCTGACATGACTTTGCCTTGGGGAGAATGAGGCACCTTGTGAAGATGGGAAATGCCCCGTCTGACTGGAGTGAGGAGGAATCTGACAGTTTTTAGCTGTCTGCAAAACCTTTGAATTCATTCTTGTCCAGTGGTATGGATGCTAGAAATTGTAGTGGGGTCAGAAAGGACAGAAAGATCTCATGGATAGTTATTGTCCTTTGTATTTTCTGTAACTCCACCACTTCTTGCTAAGTTCCCTAATCTGCTGGCAGTTAGAGACTGGGAAGATATTCTAAGGAAGGGTTGCTCCTTTGTCAGTTCCCTTCCTCTGTCTTTGGCAGCAGCTGCCTGTGTTGTGAGCTGGGGTTTCACCTAGTCCAGCTGGCCTGACAAGGAGCTGCAGGGTGACATCCCAGTAACTCCCTCTGCACCGTCAGCACAGACACTCTCACCTCGTTCCATCACTCGGCAGCAATGGCTGAGAGACCTTCAGCTTGCTCCTTGTGACCCAGGATTTCTACGCTTTGGGGTCCTGCTCAGCGCTGTCCTGTTCCTTTCCCAGGCACGAAGACCCTGAGCGGTAGCGTAGCGACCATGGACGCGTGTGTGCGACACTTCCTAGAAGCCACAGGTAAGCGAGCCTCGCCCACAAGCTGTTCCTTCTTGTGTCGGTTTGGGAAGAGCAAGACCTCTTCCCAACTGTCTGCCCAGCCAGGGAACGTCCCCTCTTGCCCGAGACGTGAGGAGAAGGGTTGGCATCAGTGGCGCTCTCCTCAGAGATGAGTACCTTTATGAGGGGAGGTTTCCTTTTAACCTGTGGCACTAAGGTGAACTGCCCCTGCTCTTCCCTAACACAGGGACTAGAAGTGAATGATCTCCTCCCCATACCCTAGATAGTTCCCCTCTTCCTGCTGTCTCACCTAGGGGTCTTATCTGCTCCCCAGCCCTGTGCTTACATGACAAGGGCATTCCAGTGTGTTGGGTCTGTGTAAAAACACCACATCCAGCTCCTCCTGTTTAGGGGAGAAGGAATAAGACCAGATATTAGTGCCCTGTTGTGATAGGAGGGGACAAAGACCTTGGTGCTGGCAAATGCACTGGGGCTTGTGCGTGGGTTTGGTTATCCACATGGGTCCCTGACGTGCTACCAGTTGCCTTAGCCACGAGTTTGGGGCTGCTGTGGTGATGGGGCTGTTTGCTGCCCTAATGCCTCCCCCTTCTTACCCCAAGGGTGCTCAGTAGAGACTGCACTGGAGGCGGCATCTCTGCATCCCGCCCAGCTCCTGGGGATTGAGCACAAAAAGGGGACCCTGGATTACGACTCTGATGCAGGTATTGGTATGGGGATGGTGGTATGAGGGCTCATGTGTGCTGGAGCAAAGCAGGGGCTGCTGCGAATTCTGGCTTTATCTGCTGCTGCGGTGGGGGCTCTGGGGAGACCCACCCTGCCCAGGATTTGCTGTGGAGTTTTGCTCCAGTGGTTTTTTTCTCTTGGGTGGGGGTGGTGCTTCACAAGCACTTTGGAGAGGCCCCCGCATCTCAGATGAACAGGGAGCAGAGCAAGGGTGGTGCTCCACTGCTGTCCTGCTACCGTGTTTGGGGTGGGAAGAAAGTTCCACACCCAGACAGCCCTAGAGCCCAGCTCTTTCAGCCAGGTTTGGCTGCCCCAGTTGCCCGCCTTCTGTTTCTCTGACAGCTGCTTCCTTTCTCTCCTATCTCTTGCAGATTTCCTGATGCTGAATGACAGCCTGTATGTGCAAGCCACGTACATTGCAGGCGAGGAAGTCTGGAGACAGGATGCGTTAGGCATGTGATGCTGGGCTGTCCTGGTGCCCTCCCGAGGCTCCCTGGCACTGTGATTAGCAGCTTTGGTAACCCCTCCCTCCCCCCCCACTTCTCTTTTTTTTTTTTTTCCTTCCTTCCTTCCTGCAACTCCCCTAAAGGAGCCTCATACCAAAGAGCTGTGTTTTCCAGCACAACCACTGCTTCCAGAGTTACAGCCATGCCTGCAACAAATTTGTTGGTGCTCAGCTGGTGGAGTGGGGAGAGCAGGCAGGTCTGTGCCAGGAGGGATTGTTGGTCCCTGGAGTGACCTGAAGGACTGCACAGCTGTCCTGTGTGGAGTCCCCAGACAGAGGTGCTCCTATCGCTGTCTTACAGTGGTGTGAAGCTGTCCCAGCCTTTGCACTGTTTTATACAGCACACACTAACCTGCCTGTGCCCCAGGCAGGCTCAAGCCATGTTCATGCCTCTCCATGCCGTTTGCCTTGCTCCTGGGCAGCTGTAGCTGGCTGGCTGGCAGTGCCTGACCAGCTGAGCTCACAGCTCTTCATGTCAGAAGGTTGCTGTTGCCTCAGCAGAAGCTGAGGACCACATTCTGATCCACTGGCACTGATCCTGCGTTGTGCATCTTCTGGAGCAAGGCTGCCGCAGCTCGCTGACTGGTGCTGTTGTAGGGCTGTCCCTCAGTGTGGGCTGAATCCTCAGGGCAGAGATCAAACCCAGGAAAACGAGGCATTGCTGGTCCTTTGTGCCTTTTCCCTGCATGGGCATTGAGTCCGCAGCATGTGGTTTCGGCTGGAGCCATGGACAACATCCTGCCCTGGAAAACAACGTTCCTTCCAACCCTGTGTGCTGGCTGGGTCCTGCAGGGTCTGCACCCAGCCGTGCCTAACAGATCCCAGGCATCATCCGAGGGGCTGATGCGTTCCTCAGGCCGCAGGGAGGACACTGCTGCTTCAGGTGATGCATCCAGGCTCTTAGTGAGGGGCTTGCACGCCCTCAGTCCGGCCTGGGGTCTGAGGGAGATGATCCTATGGCTCAGAAGGGAAGAAAATTGCAGAGTGTTTCTGGCATTTCAAGACAGTTGCTGATAGCTCATAATTCCTGTGCTCGTTATTATCTTCTTCAGTACTTGACTGTCAGTTCTTTTCCTGACACTTGGACGCTTCTGTGCCAAGACTGATGCTGTTTTCAAGCCTTGTGACCGGTCTTAGCCCCTGCCGGGCCTCCAACCACCAAACAAATGTTTTTTTTTTTGTAGTGAGGGGATGCTGAGACAGGGGCGAAGCCTCAGCGAGCACGGAGGTTGTGAGGCAAGCCAGAAGCCTGGGGAGGGCTGATGGAAGCCTGCGGATTTTTCCAGTACTTTTTATAACCTTTAGAAGTGGGAAGCGCTTTGGGGGCAGCTTTGGGCTTTGCAGGGATGTCTGGCAGCCTGGGGGGATTTCTAACAGCAGCTGCCGGTGGCGGCAGCACCCAAACCCCCTGAAGCAGGGAGCTGTGGGGCACCCGCGGTGTGCTTTGTGCGGGGGGCTCCCGTCTGCTGCGGGGAGAATTCCGGGGGGACGAGATGCAACCAGGTGTGTAAGGCTTGTGGTGATTTTTTTTTTTTACACAACTCAATAAAAGGAAACCTAAAGCAGCCGTGGGGCCGGACCTCGCCTGTACGCGCCGCCCCTGCGCGCCGGGGGCTGAGGCGGAACGGAGGCGCCGCGGCCTGGAGGCGGGCGGGCAGCGGGGAGGGAGCGCTGAGGGGCGGAGGGGCCGGGACAAGGCCGAGCCGGGCCGAGGTGAGGCCCCGCGTGGGCCCCGAGCGGCGGCCGCTGCCCCCCGGCCGGGCCCGGGCCGCTCTGAGGGGCCGGGGAACGCGGCGGGGCTGGGCCTGACCCGGGCTGGGCCGCGTGGGGAGCGGCGGGGGCTGGGGGGGGGCCGGGCCGGGCTGGGGCTGCCCGCGGGTTGTCCCCGTTTTGTGTGGCCGCCTCGTTCGTGTGGCGTGGGGAAGAGAGCGGAGGGTGACAAAAGGCAAAAAGCGGGAGGAGGGAAGGGAGGGAGAAGGGAGGGGGGGGAGAGAAAGCGAGCGGTCACACAGCACGCCTCCAGGGGGAAGCCAGAAAACGTGGTTTTTTTGTTTTGTTTTGTTTTGTTTTTTTTTGTTTTTTTTTTTTTTACCTGCTAGTCCGATCTCTCACAGACTTCAGGGAACAGTCTCAGGATCCATTCTGCAGGTGGGATTTGTGCTGATTTTAAGCACTGTGACCCCCCCCCGTCCCCAGGGGCAGCCGCAGGGGGAGCCGAGCGGTGCCCAGCAGAGGTGGGAGCCTCCCCCCACCCGCAGCTCAGCTCCAGCCTCGGCTCTGATTTAGCAGACAGACGCTTTCTGCTGCCTGTGCTCGTGTTATATGGGATTTGTTCTAAATACAAACCAACAAACAGCAGTGAGCTGTAAGAACTATCGGATTCATGGATAACTAGCGATAGGACCAGAGGGAATGGGCTCAAGTTGCACCAGGGGAGGTTCGGGTTGGAAACGAGGAGACATTTCTGCTCAGAAAGAGCAGTCAGGCACTGGGACGGGTTGCCCAGGGAGGTGGGGGAGGCACCGTCCCTGGGGGTGTTCAGGGAAAGGTTGGACATGGTGCTTGGAGACATGGTTCAGTGGGTGATGGTGGTAGGGGACGGTTGGACCAGATGATCTTGGAGGGCTTTTCCAACCTTAATGATTCTGGGATGTAAACAGCTTCGTATTTCATTTCTGTGACTTTGATTCTCCCTGTTTCCTTTGTTGTTTCTCGCACAATAGTTTTAGATTAGATGTTAGGAAGAAATTTTTCACTGCTAGGGCAGTGAGGCACTGAACAGGTTTGCCAGAGCAGCCGTGGGTGCCCCATCCCTGGAGGTGTTCGAGGCCAGGCTGGATGGGGCCTTGGCCAACCTGATCTGGTGGGTGGCATCCCTGCCATGGCAGGGGGTTGGAGTTAGGGGATCTTTAAGGCCCCTTCCAAGCCCAGCCATTCTGGGATTCTATGATTTACTGTCTAATTGCTTGCTGGTTGGTTCTTCTCCAGTTCTACTTCTGTTTTTCAGTCTTAAAGAAATGCTCTATTGGTAGGTCAGGCCCTTAAACACCGGGTTTATTTTTATGAGGCTTGGTCCTCATTGTTCTTGTTTGAAGGAGAAATTACTTTAAAGATAACGTCATATAAAATGCTTCCCAGGAGAGCACAGTTTTATCCAATCAGTCCACCTTGTTAATATATGAATTTACAGATCTTGCTTCTGCCAATGGCCAGGGGAGAGGTGTGGTTACCCTTTGTAAGGTGCCTTGCTGAGTGCTGGTGGATCCGAGGTAATTAACACGTGCCCACTCACCGTGCTTGAGCAGCAGACTGCTTTATTACACCAGTGTCTAGTGCTTGGTACCCAGTGTCAAGGAGCAGCAGGGAGGGTTTCTAGGAGCCAAGCACAGTGACAGGGCAGGCAGAGGCAGGGACTTGGCCAGAAGGGGGCCCATTCTCACAGCACCTGACAGAGGAGAGCAAAGCAGGACTGCTGAGGGTAACCACGCTTTGCCTAGAGTCCAGATTGCCAGAGAAGTCTGTGGTGATGGGGTAGATCCAAACTCTAGCCAGGAATTTAGGTGTAGATCGGGGTCAAGGTCTGGATCAATGAGGTGTGTGGCTGCAGCAGTGCTGCAACATAGCTCAGGCAGGCCAAGCATGAGATCTTCAGTTTAAAATAGCTCACAAGTGAGTGAGGAGGGAGCTTCCCTTGAAGCTTTTTTTTTTTTTAAAAAAAAAAATCCTTTGTAACAGCTCTTATTGGTAAACAGTCCTTGAATGCAGCCAGCAAAAGTCTTTGATGTAGGAGGCATGTGTGCTCAAGGCCCTGACACCTTGGTGCTGTGAATGTACACCTCACTTTTTTGGGTGGGCCCAGCCCCATTGGGGTGTTTCTGCCTTGTACGTGCAGGGTTCGTAGTCCCTTCCTACAGTGGGACTCTTCAGCATTAGATCTGCCATCTGCCTGTGAAGTGTCCCTCGTTTGGAGAGTCCTGGAGAAGCACTGCAGCAAAGAGGATGTTTTTGTGTGTGCCCATTCCAAAGTGCTGATCTCGTACATCACACTTTTTGTGGCTTGAAATGTGTTAGACAAGCACTGGAAGACGATGCCCATACAAAGTTCCCAAACTGAGGTCCTTGGGGCCCGCTGGCATGGAAGAACCATGCTTTTTAGAGAATTGGACCTAACACAAGGAGCTAATGTTACTATTGTGATATGGGTGGGTTGTATGAGAGTCAAGAAAGATTCCTTTCTTGGGGGTACTCACTATTCAGTCAGATCTTTCCCAGTTTTCCAGAGAATTCATGTTCTTGGATTTCTCAGTTGCCATGGGGGAATGGATGTTAAGCACTTGGTAGCCTCAGTGCTGCTAGTAGTGCTGCACTGTACGCTTCATCAAATGTATAGTAAGTAGTTAAGTTCTATTTTTTTTTTTCCTTTAAGGACATTTCATTGTACTGTTTTAGCTTCTAGAAGCACTTGGAGCTTTCTTTCAGTTGAATGCCTGTCATGAGTTATTTAGAGGTGATACGAACACAGAACTTTTTGAGAGGAGACCCAGCCAGCAGTGTCTTACAGGATGTTTTTTATGGCACACTGTAACCTCTTTGTTGTTTCTCTTGATCTTTTTCTTGCATGCAGCAGAAGAGACGCAGCACACACCCAAGGTCCTGTGCTTCCGTGGGACTCCTTCTGAGAAGGAGCGAGAAGTGATGAGCTGTGCGCTTGGGGTTTAGCGTCAAGATAGCCAAGGATTGGAAGAGCATGGAGAAAGCAGGTGAGCTCAAACAGTCCCTTCAGGGGAGGGTGAAATTTGGTTCTTTCTTCCAGATTTCCCATCTCGCAGCTTGTGGTTGGATCACCTCTCTGTGGCAGTACTTTTACAGAGGGAGTTGCAGTAGCAGTGGCATCCCCATAGTAGTAAACAGGTGTATTGATAGTAACATTCTTTTTCTTCCCTAGACACAAAAGCTGGTGATGTGGAAGCACAACAAGGCAATGGGCAGGCTTCGGATGGTGTGGCATACAGGAAACAGTCTGACCAAATCTCTGAGGCAAACCCAACGTGGTCCATATCACCTGACAACAATTTCCGATTTGATTTTACGCTTCCTGAGGCAGACCCAGAAGCCACTGGTGCACTTTTGGAAGCAGTCCCTGGTGCTGGTGGTGCTGAGCAGATACAAACCAGTGTAAGAGCCACTGAGCAGGAGAACTGGAGTGGAGCTCTGCATTCTGTGGACTCTGGACATGAATCCAAATTTGCCTTCAACTTTGCCATCCCAGATGAAGCAGATGAAGATTGTCCTCCGGAGCCATTAGTTCCAGCAAGCCAACATACAGAGGGTATGGCAGATCACGAAGTGCTGGGTGGTGCATTGCCTGCTGAATCAGCAGAGGTGCTGCAGGTTACAGCCCTGCAGAAGCCTGAGTTGGCTCAAACTGCAGGTAGTCCACCCAAAGAGGACAAAAGCCACCCCACATTAAAGATCCCCAAACCAGAGAGTGCTCCTGGAGATAAGACAGTGATGGAGAAATCAGCATCAAATGGAGCTGCACAGAAGAAGAAAAAGAAGAAGAAACAAAAACCTTCTGCCAGTAAAAAGGAGACAGAAGAAACTGAAGTCATCAGGAAGACAAAGACAGAAGCTAATGGATGCCAGAATAAAGATGCATCCCACCAGGATGAGACTTTGCAGGTATTTAAATATTGATAAGATCCCATCGTTTATAAAGCCTTCAGTAAAAGAGACAGTTCGTGTCTGTGCAGAGTTTAACAATCAGTGTATTGACACGAGATGATATATGAAAGACGAGAATTACTGCTTGCTTGGAGCAGCTGATTTCTTCCCCTGCTAGTCAGTTAAGAACCCAATCAGTGCCAAGGAATGCAGTGTTCCTTTGTTTCAGACCTGTGCTGAAACAGTTGGTGTTTAGACTTGTGATAGCTAATCCTGGGAACCCGAGTGCCACATTTTCTTTAAAACAAAGCATGAAAATACTGCAGGTAATTGTCCTCAGTTAGTGCCGAGCTGGTGTCTGTGGGTGTTAAAGCAGGCACTGCACCCCCAGCTTCCGCACTGTCAGCTGTCACAAATTACATAACACAAACAGAAAAGTTGCTAGCTGGTGTAGACAGGGCTGTGGCAGGTCCCAGTGTGGACCTTCAGGGAACTTCAAGAAGGTTCCCACTGTGAGGCACGGCCCAGAAATAACTGAAGTTGCAATTTATGTGTAAACACACCATTAAGATCTTACGATCTGAACACATCCTGAGATTTCCTAATGTTCTGCTAAGGTTGAGGTCTCCATTTTATTTTTCTTTTCAGCATCATTGTAGTTAACAATTAACAATGCCAGCTGGGCTATACTGACATACAAAATTGCAAAAGAATTGCTTTTGTTAATATTGTGGACTGAAGCTTTCCATCCAAAGTATTGCTTACCAACAGCCTTACCAGTAAACAGTGCTGAGTATCAGAAAGGTAGGAGAAGATGATGTAAAGCCCTTCCCGTCCATTGAAGGAGATTGTTGTAAGGAAAAGAAGGAGATAACATGAGGGCTTTTGTGTTTACGTGTACAGAACTGTTAACAATTGCTTCAGACCTTGGGTGCAGCCCTGGTTCTCTCCCTTTCTCTGTTCGGTTAGCTTAGCAGGCTTTATGTGATAGGGCTTGGCTCCTTCCATCTTCATGGCCTTCAGCTCCCTAGTCTTCATGCAGTTCTGGCTGAGCAACCACAAAGGAGCTGAGGCATCAAGACTCAGCTTCTTATTTTGTCTATTACTTACCCTTTGATTTCAGGCAGGTTTTTGGGTAGTTTTTATTGTTGTTTTGTTTTGTTCATGCTTATTCCTCACATCCGTAAGTTGAATTGACAGCTTCTTTCGTGTGAAAGGGCCTGGCCAGCTTTGTAGAAAACTGTCATCTAAATGGCAGCCAGGTGTTAAATCCATCAAACAAAGGCAAGGAGTTGCAACAAAACATTTGTCCAGTGCTTTAAGTTTACCCACTGAAAATGTAGGGAATAGGGAAAATGTATGGAAGCCTATAAAGTAATCACCAGAACCAGAAATTTTGAGTAGTCCTGCCTTTATGCAGATTTTTTTGTGTGTGTAGCAACTGCTGCTGATTTTTGCATGGTTTGTTTCCTCATGCACACTCTGTTCCATGTTGTATAGCAGTCAGACAACCAGCTGTGGAAGGAGGTGGACTGGTGTGCGGAACAACTGGAGCTTGGCCTGAAGACGCAGAAATCCACTCCAAAGCAGGGTGAGCATTCAAGGGAACGGGAGATCTCCCCTGTGGGAGGGGTTGGCAGGCAGGAGCAGTGCAGCAGGGGAGGCCCCGTGGAGTGTCTTAAACTGTGGGTTGTTTCTGCTTTGCACTGCTTCAGCCGAGGAGGCTCTCCGTGCAATCAAGACACTGCGCAATGACAAGGCTCCGCTGGTGAAGAAGCGTCAAGTCATGAGAACCCTTTTCGGAGACTACAGGAAGAAGATGGAGGAGGAGCGGTGCAAACAGCTGAAGCTCATGCAGGCAGGTAGGAACACTGGGCACACAGGGGGAAATGAAGAAATAAGGACTTCACTCCTGCCCTCCACATAGCTCTGAAGAGTGGGAGCTCGCTGTATTAGATGACTAAACATAACTTCCCGCTGTTTTCTCCCCTCTTTAAGCTGCAAAATCTGCCAGGATCATGGAAGTGGAGGAAAGCATCCGCAACAAGAACTGCCAGGTCGTCAGGAAGCGCTCTGGAGTGTGTAGGAAAAGCCAAGATTCAGCAGGATCCCCTTCAGAGTCAAACGGGACACTTAATACAGGCTCATTCAGATTCACAGCTTCCCAAGAAGAGTTTCGCTTTAATTTCTTCTAGAAAGATTAAAGCTGTGGGTAGAAACTGTGCCAGATCTCCCATAAACTTAAAAAGGATGCTATGCAATAGAAAATGTTTTGCAAGAATCTCTGAATTTCCTGAGGAAAAGATTCTCTTTCAGAGTGCCTTTAGACAAAACAGATCTGCCAACCATGCATGGACCCCAAGCCTCAATTCTACGCAGCAGTCCTCTAGCCTCACACTGTAGAAAGGCACCTTTGCAAAGGTGCCTCTGGAAGGAATTGGTTTCCTTCCTGCAGAACTGACATTAACCTAAGAATGTCTTTTATACTGGGAGATTTTCCTGTTCTCCTGTTGCTTTTGAATAAAGCAGACCTTTTACAGCAGATGAGGAAGCAATCTGTACAAAAGGGAGTGCTCTGTAATGAAGATCCAGCTTCTGTGAGGAAAAAGGAGAAGGTGGTGTAAGGGCACTGGATATCTGAGTGCTTCCGTGTAACATCTGTGCGAATGCAGCTCCTGGTAGTGAGGAAACACAGGGCAGGATGTGTAAATAATCACTGCCATCTACAGAGCACAAAAGTTCAGGATCCTGGGGGAAAACGAGTGAGAATCGTCCTTGCTCATTCATCTGTTTAATTGACAGGTGTTGACTTAAAAAAGAATTGTAAATGCTGATTTAATCCAGTTTAGGGATGTCAGGGCAGTTGTTTCCAGACAGGGAATGATTTCTGTTTCTGCAATCAGGCTCTTGTCGCTTAGGAAAGATGAACAATCGGTTCTTAAAAACAAAACAAAACAAAAAACCCCACCAACGTTACTTTGTAAGTAGCCCAGTTACAGGCAGCAGTGACTCAGAGGATAAATCAGCGGTATGCTAACCCTTGGGTGGCAGTGAAATGAACTGTGAGAGCCCAAAGGTTCTCTTGCATTTGATTTGTATTAAATTCTTGCATTATGGACAGTGTGTCTCCAGTGTCTTGATACTGCTTCAGCTAATGAACCGATCTCCTGTGTTCATGCAGAAAATCTTCTCCACTCAGCCTAAAAACGCTGAAGGAACAGAAGTTCTTTAAAAGGAAACATGGTATCAGGTGTCCCTAGGGTGCTGTGCTTTCCTTCCTTTTTATAGTCCAGTCAGTCATCCTGCATGAGAAGCAAGAAATAGAAGTGTAGGCAGATTCCAAGGTGTGCTGAGAGCTACAAAGATGGAAAACATTTGCTGAGAAAGACCTCAAAAAATGATGCTGACTTAAAAAAATAAAATTACTAAACTCTGATGCAGCCACTTGCATCTGATACTTTTTTTCTTTTAAATATTGACTGCCTGGGCATAACAAGAAAGTGAACATGAGTAACTTTTCCAATGAGTAGATACGTGGAGAGAAGACTTAAATAAAACTGGAAATGAAGAGGTTAGCTGATTGTTTTACCTGCTAGAAAGCACTGCTGTTATTTTGACTGTGGAACATCACTATACAGTATTTTCTGGATTTTCAGGATTAAATATACAAAAGCTGAATTGTTTTCAAACGTTTAGTGTTCTCATTGCATTTTCTATAATTAAGCAGCATCCTGTGTACGACCTTGGAACTGCAACTGTTTCCTTACCTAGCTGGCTATGCAGAATATGTCTGGGAAATAGTTATTTTTCTCCTTTTTCTATATAAGGCTAGAGCTGATAAAATATTATAAACTGCTTTGCTGTGGAAGGCTGCAGGAGTATTCTGGGAAGCATTCTTACACAATTGCCTTGTTCTACTTTTCTTTAGGCATTTGCTATTAGAATAGCAATACTAGTGAGATAGCCGTTTGCTGTAACTTAGTCCAGACAGTTTATCTCCAAAGAGGGCAGAAAAAAAACTGCATTCTAATATGTGTGAGGCTGCTGTGGTTCTTCAGAGCTCTTCGCATAATGCTGGCTTGCAAAGCCAACCCACGTTGCTTTGTTGGAGGACTCAGAAGGCAAATGTTGATCAAAGCCCTGCATAGCCCTGAGTGCTGTGCTTGACCTGTGCACTTGAGTGTAAGACCAGAAGTCAGCTGGGTCAGTTCCACAGGTGGGCTGTGTAAGCTTTGTAATGCTTGCTGCATCCCTGCTGCATTATCATTTGATTAATTTGAAAGGAAACAAACAACAGTATTAGAAGTTAAGAGATGCTGTTGGTGCTCTGTCAGCTCATTCCCCTTTGGAGAAGTCAGTAACACAGCCTTAATGACATGTAAAAATAAAACGTCTCCTCTTTTTAACATTGCTTTCTGTAGGATTTCGGTGACATTTATGATTTTCAGTGACATGTCTCACTACAGCAGGTGTCAGGTCTGTGATGCATGTGGCTGGAGACATGGTCCATGCCCTAAGGCATTAGGAGTGTACAGTGATGGGGGAGGAAGGAAAAGTCCTTATCTGCTTGGAGTTTTCCAGTGTTCCCAGTTTAAGAAAACATAGCTCAATTTTGGTAGAAAACGTGGCTTTGTTCCGATTGCCTGTCTTTCTGCATCCCTCTCTGCAGCCTTACGCTGTGCACCTGAGGTCGGTGTGAAAGGGGTGGCTGCAGTTGTGATGCCTGCCGTAGCTCTGTGGTGGCTGCCACCTACCCGTGCTGTGACAATCCCATAGCGCAGCTGTTCCAGGCCCTGGCTTGCGGCCAGCAAAACCCTTACAAGCTCCTCCAGCACAGTCCTCAGGAAAAATATAAAGATGAGGCAAGCTGGGAGTGTAAAGTATGGCAGTGCGATCAGTGAGGCCATGAGATGACAAGATGCTGTAATTTTTCTCAGACCATTCCTTCTCCTTACCAAAGCAAAGGAAAGGTCTCACTTTTGGGAACAAATTGTGGTGGTGTTTCTGCGGCAGGTTGAGACCAAGAATGTCGACACACCAAGGCAGCAGAAATCTGGGCGTGATCTCTGCTCCTTTTAGGCTTGGCATTCTCATCTGTAAAAAGATCCCTCGGCAAAGGTTAGGAAATGCAATCCCCTTCCATGCAGACCCTGCCTCTGGTGGGCTGAGTCACTGGGAGCAGCCTACAAAGGCTCTCCAAGAGATCCCCACAACGTTCAGCTGAAACCGTCCCAGTCCTGAGACTCCCTCTCCCAAGGCCAGCGAAGACAGAAGGAAGCCAACAGAACTTGTCCCACCGAATCTGTAACTCGAGTGCCCGATAGCTCCTTCCGACAAGTTTTTTGAAGAGTGCTGGGGGTGGACTGTGGAACCAGCATCTAATGACCCCCAAAGGATAAAATATTCTGTTATCTTACTGAGAGGAGGAAAAGAATCAATCAGACCTTATTTTTGCTTTGAATTAGAAAGAAGCAGACCTTACCATTTCAAGCAAGACAAGAATTCAAACTAAAAGAAGGAAAGATTTGTGAGGAGTGATAAGCACCTGACCTGCAGTTTCTTAACAAAAGCAAGGAGAGATACTGCAATAAGATCATACGGCGCAGTGACAGATCTTTCTGCTGAAGCTATTTTACTCCAAGCACAAAGCTGCTTTATCTGCTTTGCTTAAAAGTGTTTTGCTGTTGGCTGTGCTGCTTTCATATTTAGAACCGAAGGAAAGTTTGCGAGCCACGCTGCTTTAGAAAACTTTGACATTAAATTGCCACAGTGCTTTAATTACTGGCAGCAGTTCTTTCCTGTGGTTACTGAGAACTCTAAAGGAGTGACCATCTGCTGCGTTTGGCACGTCCGCCTGTTTCCCTTTGAGTGCATCCACAGGCGCTAGCCCCTGCGTGTCCCACTGCCACGATGGAAGAAGTCTGGGTTGTGTACCTGTGCCTGATCTTGCTTATCGTGGTGCTTCTGCTGATGAGGCATAACCCGCATTTGGAGGAGGCCAAGAAGGAGAGGGAAAGCAAAAGCCCTCCACCATCCTCTTCCTTTTTACCCAGTAATGTTGGCAAACAACTGGAGCACACCCAGGAAGAGCTGGAGCACTATCTGGAGAGGCTAACCCACGTCTTGTTTGACTCAGAAGCCAGGAAAAGGGACGGCCACCATGACCAGAAATCCCACCACCATCAGCACAGAAGCGCTGATGCTAGGTCTGAACCTAAGGAGCACTCAGGAAAGGAGGCAGTGCACTCGCAGTATCTGTCGAGCCACACAAGGGTTCAGGTATGAGGCCCATAAAAACCTCCAGACCCAGCCAGACTCAGAGCTCCTGGCTGAGGTAGCAAGGTCTGCTGCAATGCGTAGCGCATGAATTTGGATGGGGAAGAGGTGGGGGGGAAGCCTCGCTGGTTTGAAGTACAATAATTCATATTTTTGCACTGTGTATTTCAACACGAAGCAGCACTGGGATATATCTGTATGTGGCACAGCTTGTAAGGACGTTGCATGTGTCAGATGTTAATTAGCAGCTATGCACGTGTGTGTACCTATACGTAGATTACATTCCCTCCTGTGTTAACAGAAACAGCTTTCATTCCTTATTTTAAGAAATTATTAGGCAAATTTCCAGCTGTTTATCGTCCCCTTTTCCCACCTACAGTGGTGTTTTGCCACTTTGCTCAGCTAAGGATGTGGCCCAGCAGGGCACTGGAGCTCTGCAGACACCTGTCCTAGCCCAGTGGGGAACACGTGCTATTGAGCCACTGGAAATCCTTGGGTAATTTTTCCTCTTTGCGTGAAGATCGTGCGCATTGTACTCTGAAAACACGAACGTTGCTATTGGCAACCTGCAAATTTCTGTTCCTTGGCCAAGACACTTGTTTTAGGGAATGGAACAAGATGCATGCCTTTATATTTTTATCTTTCTCCTCATTGCAATACATCAGATTGTGCCCTTGAGATGACAGAGTTTCATGGCAGCTATGCAAGGCTGTGTTACTTTATGCTAGCAGCTGTTTGTATTCTTCACCCTTGAGACACATACCTTGCAGTGCCCACACCCCCCTCTGCCAGGGAGCACGTTCTGGGGCTAGGTGGGAACTGCAGGATGAAGACTTCACCTTAGAGGGGAGAGTCAGCCCTTGATGTGGGTAACCTGCACCCTGCCAAAGAACCAAGAGACAGGTTTCTTTTCTTAGGTGTTGCTATAAACAACCTTTTGGTGAGCCAGGCAGCTTCCTGAGAGAGTCCATTATGTCTTCAAGCACAGTCTGAGCTATTTGGAGGAATCAGTAGGTCCCGCTGGAGGGAGAGGGGCAAATATACAAACCGTGAGACTTGCACTAAATACATGGGTGGAGGAACTAATTCAAGTGGTTATTTACTTACAGGCACATTTCACTTACTGAAGAAAGTGCTATTAGTTTTAAATCTATTGCAGATCAGAAAATAGTCATATATATTTTTTCATATAAAAATGCAGTCATGTTGCAAAATAACATTAGATTTTTTCTGTTTGTTTGTTTTTTCCTAGTATGATTAAAGATGATTGTAGAATACAAATCACAGAGTGAGGGCTGTGGTCACCATTTTTGTACAGGTTGAATAGTGCTGCTTAGCTTCAGTGAACATCTCTTTTTCTTTCACTCTAAGTGTACTTATTCCACAGACTTGATGCAGCAGAGGATCCTCCTCTGGACAGTCAATAGCTTTAATATAGCTTAATTAGCTTAATATAAACACTGCTGTTACATGAAAAGAACACGGAGTGTGCAGAAGCAAAGTAACAAATTACCTTGTGTTGTTCCCCATATTGTGTTTTGGAAGCAATAAGAAAGAAGTCCCAGCCTGAACAAACACTTACCAGTAAGTTGTCCAAACGAAAGGCCCGTTTCTGTTCCTGCTGAGGTAAAACGGAAAGCTTCTCAACTTTGCTTGGAACAGCGCCGGTGCCAGGACTGCCGGGGTTTCTGTGTACTGGTCATGCCAAGTATGAATGTCAGGACAGGTTCAGGAGCTGTGTCTGAGGAAGCACGTTTACACGAGTGCATGTCCTGATGGAGGTGCAATCAGCTCAGACTGGGATCTGTGTGCATGGGAATGTGTGTGTGTGTATGTACGAAGGCTTTGGGGGCCCTCTCGCAGGTCAAAGTTGATGTTTTTGCTCAGGAAGGGGATTCAGCATTCTCTTCTTTCTTAGCATTTTGTGTCTCTTTCAAAGTGAGTGTAGCTTGTTGGAAGGTGCCAAGTTACGATCTCTGGAAAAGGAACTCCTCGGTGTTGTCTAGCAGAGGCAGGATGGCTTGTAGCAAAAGCTGCTTCCAAAATATCAGTCGCAAGCAGTCACATCCAGGATTTCTGCTTGCTTTACCTGCCCAGTTCTGAGAAGCCTTCAGGTCTGCTGGTGCTGCTGTGTGGAGGGACTGATACCACACCCTGCTGTGATGGAGGCAGAGAAAACACAACCCAGCTGGAGCAGGAGACCCCGGACAGCAGCACTCAGGAGCAAATCTGGAAATTCAGAATAATGTGACCAGTACTGGCAAGAGGCCTTGCAGATTTCTGGGGTGTATCAGACTTATTAAATGCACTCTGGATCAAGTCACAGATGGTCAGCTATCAATGTTGACACTTCGATTATCTCATCTTCTACTGGAGACAGCTGTTCTGCCTTACAAATAGGTGTTGAAAAGGAGCTAGTGTTTTTTTTGTGTGTGTGATTTGTTTTTTTTCATTTGTTTGGGGTTTTTGTCTTTCATTGCACTCATCTAAGCACTCTCCTAGCAAGTTAGAATCCATGTTTTCTTATTATTTTCTATTTGTTTTTACTTATGAATATCTTGAATTATAAAAAAAAGCATTTTCAGATTTCCCTTCACTTCCCACTGATTCCCTGTTCTCATGGGAACTGAGCACTTCGCTCATTACAGCCAGAACAGAAGCAAGTGAATGTACTCAGAAGTGACACTAAGAAGTGCAGGAGGATAAGACTGGGTAAAGGCGGTAGGTGAAACAGAGCAATAAGCAGAATATTTAGGAAAAGATATACTCAGAGGGTTTATTGCTTCATTAAACGAAATCAGAGTGGGGTTATTCTCAGGTTGTTTTCAGAAGCAATGAAAAATTAGTGGTGACAGATGGCAAAGAGGCGTGGGCTTCCTACATACTGGAAAAATAGATTGCCAGCCAATCTATGGTACCATGGGTGGTGGAGCACATGTTCATGTTAGGACAAGGCAGGAGCTGGCAATCTTTTAGCATCGCCATAGATTTAGAAAACCCACAGTGCCATCTTTGAGCCACACAGTGGTGAAGGTTTTTATTTATAGAGCTGAAATCCTCTCAAGGCCTGCCATTGTGCTGCTTTCTAGATGCATCTGTGTCATTTTTTTCAGCTTGTAGGAAGAGAGGATAGCTGTCATTAGACTTCTGGTGCCCCTGGTATGCATAGTCCCTTGCGGCACCATGGGAATAGATGAGGCTGGGAGGGATGTCCAGCAGCCAGCCTGGTCAGCTAGACCTCGTTGCCCAGGATTGCGTCCAGGCAGAGTTTTAATAATTCTGTCTAGATAAATCCTCTACGTACATATGTACGTCCTCTAACACAGTAACATTTGAACATTTATATATAAAAAAAAAAAAAAACAAACATTTCTTTTGAAGTCTCTGCTTCTATCCATGTTCTCCTTCATCTCTGTATTGCATCTCGCTATCTCTCCATCTCATAATTCTCTAGCATACACTGTAACCCCTGCCAAGTCCCTTAGGCAGACATCAGGATGTGTATCTGAAAACAGAAGTTTCTCACTGTGCTTCAGCCCTGACTTTTAGTCGGGTACATTCCAAGTAGCACATGAGATATGGCAAACTTCTCAGTTTCTCTTTAACACAGGAATGCAGTTCTGCCCTGCTTTTCCTTGCTGATAAGGAAGCCAAGATGTCCCAGCAAGATGATGAGAGGTTCAGTAGCTTTCAAGCTTATCATCTGTAGGCTTTTATTTATTTACAGGTACAGAATTTCCTTCTCCTTGAATCACTTTCCCTATCCTGGCAGCTGGTGACATTTAAGTAACAGCTATATTTGTAGTCTAGCAGATTAGGATTTTTTAACTTGCAAGATTTAACTTCCAGTTGGCTGAAAAATCAATTGTGGCATAGCTTCCATGTCATCCACAAGCTCTGCAAGAATCTAGCGTGTTCCAGCAGTTTGTAATGTGAGCCAGCAATCAGCAGGGTAGATGTGCATGGATCTGCCCCATATATTACAAGAGCAGGACTGATGGAGACTGAAAAGGAGAAGAAATTTGTTTAATCATTTGTGCTTTTTTAGCTTGTAGGAGGTTTTGTGGACTTGATGGCTGGGAGGTGGCAGAAAAATATTCAGAGAATAAGTCAATATCGTCATCCTGCACTCATCCCCAGTTTTAGGCTTGTTGAATGATTTCTAGTGTCAGTAGTGGATGTAAAATTCATGTTAAAGAAGGTAAATGGCAGGGTACAAAATGACAAATTAGCAGGATTATTAGAATGGCAGAGGGCGGAAATTTACATTCTTCTGTGGAATTTTGCTCTTGAAAGACTGTCCAGGCTTGAAGTTTCCAGGAGCTCTGCCCCAGATTTTTGAGGACTTTGTGCAAGTGTGTTTCAGCATTTGGGTTATTTGTAAGCTGACTGTATTGCGTAGGTTTATGCATTCGGTATCGCCATCACGCCTTGTGATGAGGCATCTTTAGCTGTGTGGCACTTACTCATACAGCTGGGTGAGCCAGGATGACTAAAGAGGCTATGATCAACTTGAGAAGATATTTGGTTCTTTGGGGAAAGGAGGAGGGAGAGTTGATGTTATTCAAGGGAAAACCAATGAATGTTGGCACAGTCTTGCCTACTGTTGGTATTTCCTTTCCTGGCTATTCAAATTAGGCACTGTTGGTGAGAACAGGCAGACTGTGGAGATACTGCCGGAGTTTCATTCTCAGCCATGAAATGTCACTACCTGTTTCACTACCTAAATTTCACCATTACTGCCTGTTTACTCTTTCACCTGCTATGGTTAGGAAGGTCACACCTTAAGCACCTTGGTCATATCTGCTGCATCAAATCTGGGTACCATTTCAATACCTCTGTCCTTTGTTTCTAGTTGTCGTTCTTTGTAGTGAGTTTTACAGACCTCCAAAAGGCACAGGGAAGGTAACTCGTGGCAGCAGCAGAAGAAAATAACCATAAACAGGCAAGCAAGCTCTTACTTGATAAAATCAGTATGGTTTCATCCTCACAGTTAGCCATGA